TTCCGTCTGGGGTACCCTCGCTCTGGGTTGTGGCTGCGGCTCCATCGTATTTTTATTGTGCTTTTGGGGTTGCAAGGAGTCAGCGTTTCGTGCAACCGCGACCGGAGCCAAGGAAGTGGCTGCGGTTGTTCCCGTTGGGGGGGGAACAGAACTTGCGGCGCATCGAGGTGGAGAGCAGGATGGGGAAGGGGCCAAGCCTGGGGATGGCTGGAAGTGCCCAGAAACCCATCTCTTCTTGCACATAGGCTCTGTGCCCCACTGTACTTTCCTGCTCACAGGGTACGGCCAAGAGGGACTGCCGCTGCTGTTGGGGGGTGTTTCCCCCCCCACACTGTGGTGTGGCTGTAACGTGGGTGCCAGGGGCCTCTCCAAGAAACTGGCTCTTTCTCATGGCCAGGGAGCCTTCTTTGGTGGCGGGAGCTGGACTTTTTTTTTTTTTTTTTTTTACCCCAGGGTGAAACACGGCTGACCCGGGGCATCCTACCCCTTCCCAGGCAAGGGGTACGCTGGGGTCTGCGCACAGCCCCTGCTCTGGATCTGTAGCACCTGGGGTGGGGATGGCGTGCGGTGTAGGCATGCTCTGTGGGGTGCTGCTTGGGGCCCCCCCTTGGCCTTCCTTGGGAGGGCTCTTTTCCCCCTGAGCCTGTGCTCTTGGGGCAGACCCCTCCGTGCCTTGCTCCTGGGTGGCACGGCCCCAGTGTGCTCAAGGAGGCTGTCCTCAAGTGTTGGCACTACCTGCGACCACCAAAGATGATGTGGCTGGGCTGGCTTAGTCCTGCAGGTACCCGATGGGCATGCGTGGGTCAGGACGTGGAAGGTTTGGCGTGGCTCTTTCGGTCTCAGGTATCAGCTGTGGGGTTATGTCCCTTCCCCGTAACCATCTGTGGTTCCTTGCCCCTCTGCTGGCCTCTGCTTCTGCATTTTTTTTGGTGAGATCAAAGCAACCCCTGGTACCCTCGGGTGTACCCAGCCCTCCCTGATCGCTAGACTCCATCCTGGTGTGGGGATGTGCATTATTTGGGGACAGGAGGGCCAGGGCTGCCTCTGGGGAGCAGGATGCAGTTTCCCAGACCGTGTGGTTGGATCCTGAGCACTTTAAGCTGTGGCTCTCTCTTGGCCACCACTTTCTCCTGCCCCCAGCTGTGTGGCAGGGTGGCTGGTGTGTGTGTCCCTCTGGAGCGAGTCTGGTACCGCCATGCCAGGTCAAAGCAGTGCAGCCTTCACCCCTGGGCTGGCAAATCTGCGTGCCCCCATCAGCCTGACCCCGAAGCCTTGAGATCCCCAGGGTGCTGGGGGACCCCGACTCCTGCCCTCTCTGGGTATGTGTGAGGAGATGTTTGGAGGAGTGCGATCCATCCCAGCCCCGAGGCAGCACCGTGGAGTGTCTAAGGGGCAGGGCATGTGTGCAGTGAGTCCTCATCCTATCGTCCTAAGCTTGTAGGTCCTGGCCGATCCCCCAGCTCAGAGACAGGGTGGCTGAGAGTCCCGGGAAGCCTCTGATGACCCTCTGAAGCTGGTCTGTACCTGCTCACCTGCCTCTGCCTGGCCGGGCTGAGGGATGTGGGTTGGTGATGCTCCAACCCAAACCACCTCACCCCAGTGAGATCCCAACCTCGCAGGAGCAGAGAGTGACCCCATGCTGGGCTCCCCTCGCCACAGGGTGAGTTCAGCCCTCCAGGAGCTGAACTGGTGGGTCATGGCAGGTCAGGGAGGGAAGGGAGCTGCTTCCCATGGGGGCACTGTGCTGCTGTTCCCACACACCCTCCAGGGGAATAGGATGGGCAGCCTTGTTTTGCCTTCCATGGCTGGGGTCAGCGTTGGGGCTGTGCTGATGGCAGGTCCCCCGATGGGTCCCCCTGAGCCTGGGCTGTGACCTCCATCCCCCATGGGAAAGCTCAGGGTCCCCTGTCCCATTTTAGGTGATGTCCCATGGGCTGGGATCTAGCTGGGGGATGCTGGTGGTGTCCTGGGGTTACGCCTGACCCGCATCCGTGTTTGGGAGATGGAGGGAGGCCGTGTCACCCCATAAATTGGACTTGACTGTGGAAATGTTCAATTAGGCTCTTCTGAAGCAATTAGCCACTCGGAGGCTTTGAAATTCCGGCTAGCGGCGAGTGTTGAGTTACCTCTAGACACCTGGCAGCTGTTCCCGGCTCTCCCAGGGCGTCTGTAGGGCCAAGGGGCCGGGGCGGCGAGCTCCGAGCGGGCAGAGCCCTGGGTGGTGAATGGATCTGCCTGATTTATAGCGCCAAGGGCTGGTTCAAAGGAAGGCCGGGTTAATTCCTAACCGGAACAGCCCAGCGCCCCGCGCAGCCATCGCACTCTCAAAGAGCTGCCAAGTCTCCCTGGAGAAGACCCTGATCCTCTCCTGGCGGGGTCAGGGATACCCCACATGTGTCGGTGGGATGAAATGGGATGCGCGGCAAGGGGAATTTGCTGCCTTGTTCCCAGCTTGGGGCATGAAGCAGAGATGCCGCCAACCCTCTTGGCAATAGTTTTTTGTCCTTCCTTGACCTCTGCAATAGGACTTGGCACAGGGTGGCCTCTCCCTGGCACCCAGGGCAGGGCTGGGGTGCAGCCCAGGGTACCCCCCCTTTACGGCAGGGACTAGTGGGAGATGAGACCCTGTCTCACTCCGTCTTTGCAGAGAGAGGGGCATCGGGGACGGGAAAGCCACAATGAAAAGCCAAGGGTGGCTTTCCTTGCCTCTGCCCTGGGGAGACCATCTGTGTGGCCCCTCTTCCCAGCCCTTGTCCCCACTGCATGTGGTGGGACCCATGGGGTGGTGTGGGGCAGCAGCTGCTGGGGGGGGAGCAGGGTGCCGTGGCCATTCCTGGGTGGGCACAGGGAGAGGTGGGTGGGCTCGCTTGTGTCGGGGGGGGGG